TGTACCATATTAAACTCGCGCAACACATAGAATGTTTGTTATAACACAAAACAGAAATGTATACGTCGCACGACAGATTAATGTTCGCGAGTCCTCTTGAAAAAAAATTTGCAATATACTTCGAACCAGTTTATCTCCTGGTTGTATTTTTGTCAGGAAATATCATCCGTGTCATTTTTGAAGATTTTTTATTTGGCATATTTGGATAGTGGATTTTTTGCCCGGCATACATTTTAAATAGGCAAAGTTACAAGCGCAAAAATATTAAATACTTTTTGATATTCCTATATGTTATATCTGTGCACTTTGCTACGCCGATACTGCGCGCGAAATAAAAGGAAATTTAAAAATAAAATCATATTCAATATATACATATATATATATGTATATGTGTGTGTGTATTCTGAAAGCTTAGGAAATAAAGTAGCATAAGCCGATGCAAAATAAAAAAATAAATATTAAAATAAATCAATACTAAAAAGACAAAAAACTTTAGAATAAAAAAATGAGAAAATTGTATAATTTACTACTTCTTATATATTTTTAAAATAATATGTGCAACAATATTATTTCAAAAACGCAGAGAAACCTCAAGTTTCTAATTCTAGACAAAAGACTGTATAGCTATTATCTTTTTCACAAAAGCGTCCTTTATCAAGTTTAGCTCTTTTGTGTCATCGCTATGACAGAAACTTCTTTCAGAAACCGCTTTTTATGAGATACTGATGAAGCAAAATTTTATTAAAAACGATGATAATCGTTAAGACCCGCGCTACTAGCTGTCGGAACATCGTAATATAATAGTTATGCATGTTTCTTTCAATACATTATACTTAAAATGTTCCACATTTCTCATAAATATAGATATATATATAGCTCAGAATAGAATATAAAAAAATTATTTATATACACCAACAACATGCACAGAAACAAAGCGTAGTTCTTCGACAGAGTCTATTCAGAGAGATCTGCATAAAAGATGGTCTATTCAAAGAGATCTGCATAAAACTCGCTCGCTCGCTCGCTCGTTAATAAGTGTGAATGTGCTTCTTTGGCTTTTCACAAAAACTGGTTTATCAATACATATTGATCTCTTAATTACCGCAATAACATAAGAAAAATTGCGATAAAGAATATTCCGACTTTTAAGTGAATTTTTATACGAAGTTGATAAACTCTCTTCTTCTCCCTCTCCTTCTCCCTATCTCTCTCTCTCTCTCTCTCTCTCTCTCTCTCTCTTTGTCTCTCTGTCTTTCTCTCTATGAGATCTTGCAGAATACGGGACGCTGTCGGTGCATCCCGTCCCCAGGGGACTTAAGTCCCCTTCCGACAACCCCGTGTCCTTTTGTTCCGTAAAGAGCGGAACCCAATAACCGTGAAAGGAGATTAAGCTTAACAAAGTGTCCTCGAGTTTACCAAAGCAACGAGTTAAGCGGAATCTCCAACTCGTTGTCGAGGCTACCCAAGACGGGACTTTGGCAAACTCGCGAACTCGTTAACGAGCGAGAGAGGCCCGTTGACCGCGGCGACCTCGATTTGCGAACTGAACAACGCATGACGCATTTTTGCGACGGCAAGCGTCGAACACTTATAACCTTTCTCCTCTCTTTCTTTCTTTCGTACGGACTTTTAAATACCTCAAATGCATCAAACACTGCGTGGTTGAGATTCAACTGATATTATAGAATCCGTCTTCTCGTTTCGTGTTTTAAAGAAAATTGCTAAAGATAAAAGTAAAAGTATTTAAAGACTAAATCAATATATCGTAAATTTTTTTAATTATTAATATTTTGATAATCTCTCATAATTTTTACTTGCGCGATACAAAGCTTGACATAAATTAATAAATCTTGTTTAGAAATCTCGTTGGTTCCCAAAATAACTACAGGGAATTAGCAGTTCTCTCCGAGATCACTACAAAGTGTCCTAAAGGGGATAACGAACTTCCGCCCGCGATAAGCTATCATTCGAAAACTTTTTAACGAGAGCCTGGCACTTCAGCGCGTTGCGGTTTTGACCCGAAAAATTGCCGAGCTCGTTGGACAGAGAATCTATGTACGTGTGTGTGAGCGCACATCGTCTCGTCAATGAGATTACCGTTAACCTGTAACTTCGGCCGCGTGAAGTAGCCTGGAGTTGTTTCGCCCCGAAACTCGTCTCTTGTGTTGGCGAGGGTAACTTCTCCTGTGGGTCCAGTCGTTCAACGAGATTACCGTTAACCTTGTAGTTAACCTGCGAGCTAAACCGATTTGAGTCAAAATGTTCTTTTCGTTGCAATAACTGCAATATCGATACTTTGACTCACATTCGATATCGTCATTACTCTGTGCTTTCTACAAACTATTTAACGCAATATATATTTATATATTCTTTTTTCTGTGACTTGAGAAACGGTGGCAATAAAAATCCGAATTGAAGTAATTAAATAATTATAAATTTCTTTTAAATGTATAATTTTATATAATTGTTTTGTAGCTTTTTTAACGAGAATAGATGTAGATGATTTGAATTCTTTTTTTTCAACTATAAATGTAAATTTTCATTATTGTGGTATTCGTAACACCACACTAAACTGAATAATAAACATGTTTTTTTCTCATAACTTTTTTTGTATAAATTTTCTTTCTTCGGCACCGTAGAGGGAAAGGCGTTGTATGTGCGACATCAAGCTAAAATGCGAATCGATTCTCCCATCGTTACTGACCTACACAACGATGACATTGTACAAACAGAAAGCACGTAATGCCCGTAGAAGAGCAAACACTTTCTCAAGAATGTACAAAATGCGCCAAATTCGCTAACAAGTTTGTATATGTGCGAGATAACATCAAAAATAAATAAGAACATAAAACGCAAAAGATCGGATTCGAATTTAGTTCAGCCATAATATCCAGCGCAAATAAAATTTTGTAATTTTTTAAATGTAAAACATATCTAATTTAAAAAAAATTAGATATATATTAAAATTATTTACACAAATATCAATAATTTTCCGAGTTAAATAATTGTGAAACTTCATATGCGAGAGGCAATTATGCAAATTTTGATCTCATAAAATATATCGAAATGCGTTAACGCGCAAAATTAATTCCTAGAAAAAGATTGCATGATTTTTTTTTGGCCGCGACATTTGCGTCACACGCGTTGATAAACTCTTTCCAACGAGGCTGATAGTTTTACCACACGCACAAAGAAGATTTTCTTCTTGACGGTGTAGGTATACTCGAACAAGAAAGCGCACTGCGCGCGCGTCACATATGCCGTTGCGCGAAAACACGTACGCAACTGTTATGTTTCGCACGTGTGCATCTGTGTCATGAAAATCTTTTACCGCGCATCGTCTCAAAAGACAGAAGCTCGCGCGAGCTCTCGCGCGGTTTGAGCACGTACATATATAGGAAGAAAGCGAGCGTGAGAAGAAGGGGAGATGGAGAAGGACGTGAGGGAGCTCCAATTTCCATATTATAATTAATTTCTCACTTAGCCGGCGGGTCGCATTAATTATATGTCCCCGGCCAACGCTCGGGCTATTCATACATATCTAATTAGTTTGGCCTCGTGCGAGGCTCTTATAAAGTGCGCAGAGCTTTTCCCGTATTCTCCACAGAACGACCAGTCGACATGCGACACCCTATAATTCGTCGGTATTATTTCGGCGAATTATTTCACAATTACTAAGAAATTCTGAGACTCTCTCAAAATAAAGAAATTTAATAATAATAATAATAAATAGATATACATTTAAACAAAAAGAAGTTAGATAATTTAAATTCTGTTGCTTTAAATAATTATTTGCAAGTGAGAAAGAAAGACTCTCTTCAAGATAATATTTGTAGTAAGTAAACGATCAAAATAAGAAGTACTGTGTATCTTCAATGAAAACTTCACGACGTCAACGAAAAAATGGAAATGCATAACAAATGAAATGGTTATACGAAGGTAAAGGCTTCTGATAATATCAATAAAAGATACATCCGTAAAAATGTGTACGATTTGAAATTGCATATCTCTTAGCGAGCGCGCGACATAAAACACGAAATAAAGGAGAAGTGTCGACGCAATCGTAAAACTTGGCAACTTTCGACGTCGATTCTCACCGCGGGATGGGCGCGCAAACCGATAATTGCGATCACGATATGTTTCGAGGAACTTTGTCGTTCAAGTTAAGACGCGGATCGCGGCTCTATAGCGCTCTCTTCTATCCTTCTTTGCGCGTCGTATCTTCTTTTTACCGACTTCGAGAACGTTAATCTTGATATTCTCCTCGAGCAAACGGCGCGCGCGAATAAATTCGGGAAAAAGTTCCACGCGCGGCGGCAATTTGCACGAGTAGTTTGCTCTCTCCGCCATCGCACCCAGCCGATTTGCACAACACAAGCGGTAAAAGGGGAGCGCATCCTCGATCCCGGATACGTTCCCGCAGCCATTTTAACAAATTGTTTCTCACAGCGCACTCTGTGACCTGAGCGAGTACATACATATGTATAGTACAATACATACATATATATACATATATATGTATAAAAGTGCGAGGGAACGCATTACGTTCGCGCGCGCTGCATCGGATAAAGCGAACGCATTCGCTTTCTCGTTCAGCGATGTTTGCGCGTTTTCTCCGCGATCAGCTCGTCGCGCGATTTTATTATCCGATCGATTCCATCATTCGCTCGAACACCGTTGCGTTTCTGTTTTCAACCACTTTTTTTCATCACATGTAGGCCGAGAATTGCAGATCGGGACTAGTTGACCGACTCGTATTTGTTAATATCCATTCTGGTGTCACTCATTCGGTTAGAATAACACAAAACTCGGTTAAACTACTAAGATGCACGTATCTTTAATAATAATTGGTTTGCGAGAACTCGTCAAGCAGCGATTTATCGTCTCAAAGTACTTAAATGTTCTTACTGCAATATATTCGCGTTATGAGTTTATAAAGAACGATTAATCTGTCCTTTTCGTCTCACGAAGAGGCGCGATATTTTCTTACGTGTACTTACTTGGAGGCTTGGGTTCGTCGCTGTTCGCATCGTCGTCGAAGAGAGTAGTTCCTTTTGACTGTGCACTAGCGAGCGTCGATATCTCGATGCACGTTACCACTATCAATATCCGCAACATACTGACAAACGTCTCTTCTGGCGATTTCAAACCATCCTAATTCCGTTCGCTCGTGCAATTTTCAGACGACACTCTGTCAACAAATAATCGATCTTTATTAACAAAATAAAAAATAGGACAAAATAAACGAGATTTTATACGATGAAACTATATCAATTCTTTTATCTCCGATAATTAGAGATGGACAAAGTTAAGAATGAATGTTATTTTACAAAATGACACATGGTTACAAGGAAAAACCAAACCATTTTACACGTATTTTGTTTCAAAACTCATATTGATTTGTACTTATAAGAAAAATATAACGTATCGTATTATTTTCTTCTATAGTTTCAAGAAAAGTAGATGTCATAATGTTGAAAGCTGCCAACATGAAATTTCACGTTTCTGACAGACGATGTTTTATTCGAATCGTTTTCAGTGGAATTTCATAGCTCGATACTATCGACACGTGTAGCTGGCAGTTGGCTAGCAACAGCCCCGGCCACGTTTGATAACGCGTGACGCGTTTATTGTTAATTTCGCCGCCGCGTTTGGCGCGTGCTACGCGCGGTATCGGATTAATAGCGATCGACGGTTTATCAGCGTAGATTGATACAAAGCCAGGCATGATTGATCATCTCAAACAATGTGGCACGCGTCAAAAGTGCTGTGGAGTTTTTGTTCTTCTCGGATATTTTTCATCAATAAAAGTTTCACCGAAAAAATGTTCTTCGACAAGGTTGCAACATTGTTGCGCGCAAGGAAATACAATTAAATAACACCGGACTTTCTTTGCGGTTTCTTGTTCAGCTATCATTCATAAAATCATTAACTTAATTACTTAAATAAATTAAAACTAAAATAAAATTTTTCAAAAAATCTAAATATTTAAACGAGCCAAGATTCATAAAATTCACATGCGTGTCAAAATTGTGTACAATATTCGTCAAGTTTAATCTTTCTCTCGATATCGTTTTTGCGACGAATTTAGATATTGAAATAGCTTAAAAAAAAAAAAAAAAAAAATCGAAAGAGTTTGTTTATCCGCAAAACAAAAACTCAGTCATGCGTTTCGAAGCCGGTTCGGTTCTATATATTTGTGCAACATATCAAACTTTTGTAAAATTTTTCGGAATTGCTTTCTCTTTTTCGAATTGTTTTCGACGATAGTTCACCGAAGAAGCTTACACACGTTCCGTTCTTCCGCCGTTCTGTTTGAATCGGCAGAAAAATACGTCGTCGCGAAAAGGCGGAACAATGAACGTGGTATTTTCGTGGGATTTTGCGGCGGCACGAGCCGAATATGCATCGATCGCGTGATATCGGCCGATTAGAACGGAAAATTGTCCGAATCTCGCGATGCATTTTTCTTCCGCGATAGATTCAAACGCGCATCATCGAACAGAGGGATCGCGAATACGAAAGTAATAGTGGTGCACGGAGAGAAAAATGCTCGGGATCTTTCGACGCTTCACATCACGCGCGTCTGCTCCGAAACTCGTGGGAAATCTACGAAAAGCGGCAGGTGAACGGGAAGTATCCTTTGTGCAGGGACAATGAACGAGGTTATTCGCGCGGGACCTTGCGTTAGATCCGCGCAGATTAGTTTATCGAATCAACACATTCTTCCATTTATCATTCATCGCCGTTATTTGATAATCATTAACTATTCATGAATCGTATATCACTTTTTTCCTCTCATGCGTGAAAAAGAAAATTCTAATTCACTAAACGTCGTTGCGCACGAAGCAATATGTTTTTGGACGATGAATTGAGTTACACAAATATACAGATATGCGAAGCAATGAATCAAATATTGTCGTTTCCATCTAGCGTAAACGCTTCCTGTATGAAACGATACGTTTCATAAAGTATCAATCAGTTAAATAAATTTGGGAAGTGACAAATGCACAATACAAACGCAATACATTTGTACATATATGTAGAAATTGACGTACGAGAGAGAAATCAAATATTTTCACTTGTTCGATGTTGCTCAAAAGCGCCGACTGATTGTTTATGAATTAATGGAGGAAACAAATATATAGATTCTTGTTTTTTTTTTTTACGTTTGCGAGCGTATTCAATTTAGAAATTTTCAGACTTTTTTGTCGCAATACAGAATCTACAATGTTGTTGTTTCAGTTTTAATCATCATCATGACTCTTTTGTCTGTGCGACATTTAAATAAAAGATCAATGATTCGCGATATATTATCATTTGCTAAAAAAAGTAAGCGCTGTAACCAAAGTCTGATGTAAACGCGTTGTTTGACGAAAAATCCATGGATACATCCCGGCACGAGTAAACAGAGTCGTGAAAACTCATGGTATCAAAACAACGCAACGAGAATATCGTTTATCCACGTGTTGTTGCAAGAAAGATGTACAACATGGAATTTGCACTACGGTTGCAGATTACTTTTATATGGAAATTGTTTTTAACAGTCTTATGAGAGAACGTAAATACAAAGGCACATATAACGTATATAAGAATATAAATAATATCAAAGATAAAATTTTTTTGTTGACTATAGAGTTATATCTCTACTAATCTTATTACGACCTTTGGCGTGATGTAAAAAGTTTTATAGTAAAGAGTAGCTAATTAAAGTATCTTTCCGCGCATGCAAATCTTTTTTTCAGAAATCCACAAAGATCGAATACAATGTCGCGGAAACGCGCGTTAAAGATTAAAAGTGATTTCCGCGAAAACGGAATTATCGAACATTGACTAGATGGAGAGATAGAGGCGCAGCAAAAAAAAAATTAAAAAAATAAAAAAAAAAAAAGAAACAACGAGATTGAATTTATACGCTCGGGTGATCGAAGAAGATCCACCATAATCTTCAGATTTAATTGAAGATTCTTTTCCGTCTCTGTAACTTTATTCTTATTCTACTTTTTGCCACACTTGTTTTTTTGCTTTCTCATCATTCTAAAAGTGGTGAATCGTCGTGTTGTTGATCATTCTCGGCGCGCACGTTAAAAAGCGACCAGCAAATTGCACTTCTCGAAGGCCGGTAACGCATCAATGTTTCAGCCTAGCGAGAGCTGCGTCATTCCTCCCTCTTTCTGGCGAAATATCGCGAGAGCGCGATGACTTCGCGAAAGAGAAGAATAAGGCCGGGATAATACAAAGTCACGCTATACGTTTAACGAGAAACGACGTAGATAACGGAAGAACGAGATCTGCATTCCTCGCGGCTGAATTTTCGATTACTATGGTTACTCGAATAATACCGATAAGATTTTAGTACAGCTATTCCAAAGATACAATCACACCGAAATAATTGATCGTATTGTGTGCAGCGATTGAGCTTGAAACCATTTTTTAATTTCTCGAGAATTGTGTTCATTATATACATCTCTATGCAAAAGAACACAACCTAGCCAAAAAAAATATAATTTTATTTATCTTAGTAGCGATTCATCACGCTGTATCTCTGTGCATCGCTTTTGTTTCTTTTAAGATCGTTTATCCGATAAAATATGTATCGCGATTTTTTTTTTACAAGCGACATAATCGATTCTGTTGATAAACGCGTTCGTTATCGAAAACACCTCATCGCTTTTGTGCGCGCGTTGTTTGCTCGATTAACTCTTGTGTCTGTAACTCGTGAAATTTCTATGTGGTATTTTTAATGCGCAAGTTTATATCCGCCGTTTCTCGAGATATCATTGATTTAGCTCTTGCGATGCGCCGCGGCGCCTCGAGTAATAATTGAAATTCCTTTCATCTCGAACGGACTCACCGATACTTTATCTCTCTCGTATTTTTACGCCTCGAGCGTAAAACGAACTTCCTGCTTCCGGTTAAAAGAACGGAAAGTGCGAGCAGTGCGGCGTCCAAAGTAAGTGTATGAATCGATGATTCAAAAAGGGCGTGTCTGTGTTAGGTCTCCAATAGTTTCTGCGAGATGAATCGTGCAACCGATAAAAGATACCGATATAACGTCTTAAAAACAATTTTTTTCACGATCACTTTGTTTTTTCTCTGTACTATCGCTCGAACTTGTCTTTATGATCTTTCCAGTATTACAATAAAAAATTATTTTTCATACTATTTTTATGATACAATATGCGTTCTTCTGTTTGTTGTTCCACAAATAGTTATGTTAGTTATTAATTTACGCATACTATTTGCGTAAACTCACTGAATAATATCAACAAATAAAAAATATATTGCAAAACCATATACAAAAAAACTTTTTAAATAAAATATTTTGATTAAATCGTAGAAAAAAAGTTTTATATTTAATAATAAAGATAGTGTAACAATATTCTCTTAGAAGTAAGAAAAGAAATAGCAAATGAAATTCAATTTCCAACATTGATATTGACATGATCGAAATGAAGACGCGAGCCGACATCAGAGTACACGTTCTCTGTACTGTACTTCGTAAGTGCTTTTCTTATAGGCTACCACTCTCTCTCTTTTTCCCTCTTTTTCGGCTTCATCGGGACGCGTACTCGAAGCAATTGTCAGAAAGTAGTTACAGTCCGTGTTTAGTACCGGCCGACGCGGAAAAGAAAATCGTTCCATCGACGTGTTCCATATCGGACCCGGCAAAGAGGCCGGTTCTCTCTACTTTCGCACCGAACAATCGCGCTACAATCACTACGTGACAAGAGATCCGTTTCGAAAGAAGATGGCACACGTCGAGAGACAATGACCGTATTACGAAAATTGTGATTTTTCTTGCTAAGAAAATCGACAGTCAATCGCTTTATCTGACCCAGTTAAAGGAATATAATTTTTTTATCTTACTAGCACAACACAGGCGCGCGATACGCGCACGCTGTTATTGTTTTTATTTTAACGTGTAGTGCCAGTAAACACAACCTGTCATCGCAATGACAGCTAGTATATACGTCTTACAAACTATATAATACACATGATGTACATATGAGAGATGTCAGAAATAACGCATGAAAATCAAACTCGAAAAATAAAAGAAAAAAGAGAGAGTGGAAAAACAACATGTGACTGTATTTTAGTGAATTTCACTTTCAATTTTTCACGTGAATTTTGCATATAAGAGCCACTACCGTGCGTCTTGATATGTACGACATGAATCGAGAAACACATCCTAGAAACGTCCAATCAGCGTCGAGATAAAAGTGGCAACAATCAATATCGAGAGAATCGATTATTTACACACGATTTTTCTGGTAGGACTAGCACAACACAAGCGCGCGCTACGCGCACGCTATTATTGCTTTTATTTTACCGTGTAATGTCAGTAAACTTAACCTGTCACCGCAATGACAACTGGTATATACCAGCTTCAGATCAGGTTCAGACAAACAATATAATATACATGATGTATAAGAGATGTCAGAAATAACGCATAAAAATTAAACTCGAAAAATAAAAGAAAGAGAAGAATGGAAAAACAAACACGTGACTAAAGTCACGTGACAGAGAAAAGAGTAAAAAAGAGAATATTATATATATTATATATAATATTCTATATCTATATATAATACACACACGCACACACACACACACATATATATATATATATAATTCACGTGACTAAAGTCAGCGACCCCGCCAAGGTCGCGCGGCCGAGGTCAGTGACTTTACTGTAGTATATATGTAATACATATAATGCAATATAAAATATAATAATATAAATATAAATAATAAATAAAATAAATTATATGTATAATATTATTTAATGTTATATATAATATAAATTACAGTCACGTTACTTTAGTCACGTGTTGTTTTTCTATTCTTTCTTGTCACGTGACTTTACTTTAGTCACGGTTTTAATTTTCTCCACATATACGACGAACTGTCAAAATCGCTTTTCTGTTAATATTTACTGTCTCGATTTTACTGATTTGATTCGATCTCGACTCGACTCGATCAACCAACCAACCAAGAGGCAACAATAGATGCGATATATTCGATATGAAAACACGCACTTTATGGTACACATGGATTGTTTTATATAGAAATATTTTTATGTGACATATTGTAAATCGATACTTCCTCGATCTGTCAAATAATATATTGTTTCCTTTGCATGTAAAACTTCATAAAGTTTTGTCATATAAAAGCTCGAGTTGATTCGAGAGGATCGAAAGTTGCCGCCTAATATCGTGACGTCGAATTAGCGCTAAGAATAATGGGGCCGGGAGTGAGCTGAGAGAGAATGACTGCCTGAAGAAAGTTCCGATAGACGAGATATCGAGCAGCTCCCGAGTCGCTTCTGGGCTTTTCACGGAGCTGTTAAACGACCATTACCGGGGCTCGAGAGCACAAGAAAGAGAGAGAGAGAGAGATGCTCCCGAGACACGACCCTGAAGCTGGAGAATTTCGCGCTAGCACAGACATCAAAGACGGACGTTTGACGACAACGGAAGGATGAAATCGGCGGACAATGTCAAGCGAGAAATTAACGCGCTTAAAACGACAGTAATTTCCACAGAATAGAATAAAAGCAACTCTCTACTTCTTTCCTGTCCTATTTAGTGGATTATTTGAGACTCGCGTTATTTTATTAGTTACTCGATCTCTTATTTTGTAATTTCCATCAGACTGCCGGAAAGTGGAAACGCGCAAACATAGTGAATGAAAACCGAATTATTGTAACCTGTTTACGAACGTACAAAATCCAGAGATAAAGTTTCACATTGAAACAAATTCTCATTTACACGCGCACGTTAATAAATTAAATGATATGTATACATGTGTTGTATTATATGTAAAAAGTTGTTGTTAACAAGAAACATGATAGATGCAAACACAATATTCCACGCATGTTTTCGTGTTCCAAATAATTTTTCAAGTGTAGCTGCAGTAGAAATTTGCCCAAACAGCCGTTGCAACAACAAGTACGGTGTCTTCGACGTTTCGAAGTACACGGAAGATAGGGATTCGTGTTCTAACAAGTTTTCGCGAAGCACGAAAAGACGGCTAGCTCGTTCGCGAAGCTGAAGCAACGAATTTGTCGAAAGCTCGCTTCCAACGAAACACGCTCTCAGAATTTTAGGTCAATCGCTCGCGCAACTTTCTTCTCAAATAAACGCGTCTCTCTCTCTTACGAACAACGAGGAGAGAAAACGTTTTGTTCTCTTTCTTTTCGAGTATGTCTCCGTAGGGACTGTAGTTTATGGCGCACACGAGCTGCTTAATTTGCCTTAAGTACGCGGCTGGTCTCTCGATGAAAAGCGCGCACCCCATTTTTCACTCGTCCGCTGCATCGCGCCGCGGAACTTCCGAATAGGCAGTTACTTGTACTTTCGTTGGCGGTACTTTGCAAATTCACGAGAGAAAAGGATTTTCCTCTTACAATTAGAAAGCCTATATACGACAAATTTAATCGTTTCTCATGACGTTTGGGCGCACTGTCCACTCATAAATTTTCGTGCAAAGAATCTACGTACAAATATCATTGTCACATGATGAATTGTCACAATAATCGAGATTACAAAGAGCGATTGATAAATATTCTAAATGACGTATAGGTGGCTAAAGTAGTACGACATTGTTGTTGTCGTTGACAAGTTTTATTCTTCAGAAAGACAAACGTCAAACGCTGGTTCATTATCGCATTTAGTGTTTGTATGACAGCTCGCCAAAAGTAGATTATCTTGAATCACCGAAGCTCTCAGTGATTCAACACAATACACAGCTCAACTATTGCAATAGTATCAAAATTTACGAGTTGGGTCTCGAATTACTTCTGCCTTCTTAATTCGCCAGATATGGCAAAGATATCGTTCGTGCGATTTTATATCCATGCCATAAATGGCTATTTTTTTCAAGAGCTCGAGAAATCATTTTATACCAAAATAATATTTGCTCGAGAAGCGTTGATCAAAGTGTATCGAAATAGAAGGCGATTATATTGAAAAATAAATATACCCGATAAATTGTTTATCTTTTTCGTTTTGGATATTTTTCAATTTTTTGCCTCTCGTATTTCTCGTCTCCGACTGGGATGTGCCCAGTTTTCGGATGCGTTCAATTCCGCGGAGAACGTTCGTACACAATGCGATCGTTAAATGTACGCGCAAAAACTAAAATTTTTCAATTGCCATAATACAAAATGCATGTGTATTACTGCATTGGCAAAAATTGACAAATAGACAACATGCGCATGTAATAAAATAACTGGATTTTGATCTATACTTAAATAAATTCCAAACTGCGATATTCAACTGTTTTTAAATGGCTTTTTCAATAGGTTTACGTACTCAACAAACGATTCAAAAACGGAGTAAATATTTTTTTGTTTTCCAAGTGAGATCATCAAATCATCACAAAATTTATTGTATTGTTTGATAAATAAATTGAATGTCGCCGTAAAATTATCACAACTCTACACGGAAAACAGTTTTGGAATAACAAGAAGATTAGTTACTACTTTATGATTAGTAAAAACAATTTGCTAAATCTATTGAACTTTTCCTTTTGCCAACAAACACATTTTGTTTTGGTTGCTGGTCATATAATAGCAAAATTTTTTTTCCGTGTGTGGTAATTACACACGGTGTGTCTCTTTTTTGGCAACAGAGGAAGAGTTGTAACGTGGTAGCTTGACTGCAGCCGTTCCTTCCTGTTACAGAACAAAAGAGCGTCTCGAACGGCGTTTGTGGGCCTGATCCGCATCGGGGAGTAAAATGCAGACTAAAAATAGAACTTCGTGGAACTTGTGTGTGATAATAAGAGTTACTTCAGAAGTCGTGAAATTCTAGCGAATTTGTAGTTTCAATATACTTGATATCTCTGCAGAGAGTGCATCAGTAAAAGCAGTCGATTAAAAGATTAACGAGCCGAGAAACTATTTTGAACGCATGTATATAAAGAGCATATTGTTTATTTTATTTATATACGCGTTCTGCAGGCAGATATTACTTCTGGAGCCATCACTCGAGAGACAGAAAGAGTCGAATAACAAGCCGAAACGTAGAGCATTCATCCCTTTTCGAACCGTTAATGTTTTAAACGGATTCGGAACGGAAAATGCTTTTGTGGCTCGCCATCAGTACATTCTCTGTCAATATAATTTCGACAGGGGCTTATTGACGCTGGCAATATGTCGTGTATTTGATTTCCTGCGGTGACTGTTATTTAACTTTCGTAATATTGCGAATGGCAGGCTGTTCGACTCAATAGAGATTCAATGTATTTACAGATGAAACTCGGTGCTTTTTTTCTGGACCGCGCGCATTTAGTTTTCTGTTACGCACACGTTGCAACTATATTCGATGAAAAAAAATGCCGCAAGGCATTATGATGCGTTATGTTGCTCAAATTGTTGCAGATGGAGCAGCATACGCAAATATAGAGCACAAAATTAGAATTAAAAAATTTCTACCTAATGTATGTAAAATGCAGTCGGTATACAAACATCTTCGGTACATGGTAAAGGGTCGATACGATCGATTAAGTTTTATAAAACAATATTGAGATAATGTCGGTTTATCATCATGTCACTTATCGATAAGTTAAGCACCAACATCTGTCGCTTCAGGTAAACCCTAAATCTCTATAAAGATTTCCGAACTTTCACATTGATGTTAATATGGCTTCTCTCAATAATATAATTAATTGTGAGCACGTGATTCTTCATAATTACTAAAAATTTATCATTAAAAAAGATATCGGTTTTCTTAAATCAGTCTTAAATTAATAACAAGATTGCAAAAGTGTATATACAATCAGTTTTTTTTCTAAAGATCAGAAAAATGTTTTTTCAAAATATTGCTCAGTTTTGAAAGATTAGTTAGATCAAAGTTTCATCTAAAAATTAAAAAACAGTTCGGGAGAAAATGTGCAAACGAGAAAAGTATATATATGTATATATACATATAAAAGCAAAATTAAAACTGACAGGGAAGCACAATGAAACTCAAGCACATCTCAAAATCTTCGACTTTTTGTCTCAATGTCCCGCGCACTTGACATTACAAGTGTATCTTTATAATTTGTGTCACAGAAGAGATAAATGGAACTAGAACCGTTACCTGAATCCGTCAATCCTTTAACACTTGATTGGAGATGCACTGCCAGACACAGCTTGCACACGCGTTACACGCATTATGGATCGTCTTGTAGCGCCAGCGTTACCACCCCTGTCGACGTCTTCGTCTTCAAATGACGTTGCGAACACGTGGTGTCACAAGCTGTCATCGGAGAACGTGCGTCGTGATCTTTGAAATCCCCTCACCTCACTATTCACTCAATTCCGGAAACCATCTTCTCGTTGCATCGTTCTCGAGCGCGTATTGCATTATCACGCACTATATCCTCGTCAATTCGAGTATCGTCGATAAGATTGCACGATTATATTTCTTTTTGTCCAGTCGTCGAGTTATATGTTGTTAATTGAGACACCGTGTTTAATCACTGCGTGAATTAACACTATATAATTTGACGATTTCGAGAAGAGTCAAGATAAACGATCACTTCTATTATTCAACATAATCACGATACAATGAAAATTGACGCGATCGTTCTACACTTGAATCGGACCATTTACGTGCTGCAACTTTGATCGATAATCTATATATTTTTTACAGAATTTCCCGGTAGATCCCAAAAATCACACGGCTTCGATTCTTCTCGATCGACAAACGCGCGCGTCGAGCTCTGCGATGTCACTGGATGCTGCCGGCGAACTTTTGCGCACGGAAAAGCCGTTCTCTAACCAACCCCCACCTGTACTTCACCCCTGCCCGCGGCGCATACACGTTCGGACTCGCCCTCTACCCCGTGTACCGACTCCCGTGCTTCGTGCAAGCTCGATAATCTTCGTGAAAGCTCGAGAATTTCAATTGGGAGACGGGGGTGAATGCTGTATGGGGGTAGCAGGATGACCAGGAGGCAGTTTGAAAAAGAAGGAAATGCGTTTTCCTCCTAACATGGGTGTTACAAAGAAACTAAACGACGCACGATAGGGGATCATAAATAACTTCCAATGAATTGTTGATGTCTCTGTATTTACGCGTGACAAAAAAACTAATTCACTTGTTTAATGTATGTTAAATATATATAAGGATTCGACAAAAAAAGAAATGCGATTTCTTTAAAAAAAATGTTTAATGCTTTTATCTAATATCTCTAGCTGTTAGATTGTTTATGTTTACAAAAGAAGATAATGAGCGATGTCAAAAGTTAACATTATCTCTTATTTTTGATTTGCCATTAAAAGTATAAGTAATTGAGTTCACATTAGGTTCAGAATCGAAACAAGATTTATTAAAATGACGAGTGAGAGACATAAGAAACACGATATGCGAAATCACTTTTTTGTTTGTGTCAGCTTACTTGACAGTAATCAAAATCTTTCTTCTGATTAAAAATTTATACATTTAGACAAATTATAAATTGCGTATGTTTACGATAAATACACGTTTTAGATTGCATGCATGTAATTTTATAATTTAGCAATATTTTGACATTAATCATTATGTTTGATAATAAAAGCAGTTTTATAAAATTCCGTTTTATTGTTGAAAATAACGTTTGCTTTATTATAAGTACTGCTTTGTTCTGAACTTAATCGATAATACAAATTAATTTGCACACGCAACAATTCTGAGTATATTTTCGACAATTAATAAATTGATCGACGAGTGCCAATATTTTATCAGTGCTCGCGAAGTGCACGGAGAGCCGATTCGACGGCACCGATTCGTATTAATGAGGTTTAAAAATAATACGGATTTCAATGAAAACGTCGGAAAAACATAAGCGGATTCAATGCGCGAAAACGGCCAGTGCGTTTCAATAGGCGTATATACATGTACAAATTCACCGTCATTCCAAAATCACGTATGTACTTTTCAGCGCCGTCCATCGTAAATCACCAAAGAATTATTATAAACAGCATATTATAAACGCAGAAAATGAACATAAAAAGCTTCCTAAATAATTTTATCTTTATAATGTTGGAACAAGTAAAGATAAACAATGGTGACAGTCAAAACTGCCCCCGTCATTCAATCAATATTCTTCTCTCTTTCTCTTTCTCTTTCATTATTTTAATTCACTCGTCAAAGATTAATAAGCAAACTTTCTAGACATTAGACAGCCTGAATGAATATTTTGAGATAATCATTCGCCAATGCTCGCTCAGTGTTACATTGTCAAAAGCAAACTATGTAAAAAAATAAAAATGATTTCATAAAATTTAAATTGCCTCCTCTTGTTAAACATTCGAAAAGCTGTGAACAAGCCAAACATCGAATATTTTCTCTCATCTTCCACTTCTTTCCCATATATATATGGGCTATATATAGACCATATATAGACCACAGTGCATCGTCGTATGCGCGACGACCAACTTTTCTTACTTGAGACTCTGACGAGCCAATTTGTGTTATAATCACTCTGGTTTTCGAATCCTTCGGCGGCAGCAAACTTGGAGCGGACGTTAACGAGCAAGTCCGTCGTTCGTAATTAACGCTTTCTAAAACTTTGGAAACGTCAACGGGCCAACTATATTGGGGGGCAATTGCGAGGTGTGGATATAGGCGCGTCGAAACACGAGCGAGAGAGAATCGTCAGTCGGGGTATCTACGTGACCACATAGAAAGTAACTCGTTAGAAGCGCCGCTAGCATAGAAAGTTAATTACGTATCAATTGACGACTGTTAGCAGCAGCTCGTTACATGAGAGTCGCAGTTATCTCGAGCTGCGGTTTGCGTATAGCTCTGCGGTCGCAATCGCACAAACGTGACAGTGAAGACGAAAGACATCTTTGTATGCGCGAATCGAATTCTCGTCGCATCGGGATGCACGACCGCCGATGTTCTCCGTTATTTGCTGTCAAGTCGCGATACCTCGCTCGGAAACCTACCGCCGCCGCGCGGTATATTGCGACACAGACTTCTCGCGCGGGTAACTTCGTTCCGACGGCTCGTTTGTGGTTATATAGCTTTGTGATTGGTTGCGTGAAACGTCACCGGAGAATATGGAGATAGCTTCGTCTCTCCGTGAGACGCGAATAAAACTGACGCGTATTGCAACATGGAATACATCGCGATAACATTGCAATCGTGAGACTAGCAAAGTGAAGTTAGTATAACTATCAGTTATATCTATTAGTATCGCACACCGAGAGTTTGAAATTATTTTATAAATATTATCTTTTGATTTGACACAAAGTATTTTATAATGCGACTAATTTGTTCATTGAAAATAATCCAATCTGCGTTTAATAACAATCTCCAATCAAGACTGTAACAAATTATACATATATAAAGCAACTAATTTTTACAATATTTTAAATATTTTACTAGTTTGAATATACTTTAATCTTTGCTAGAAAATTACGTCGTTAATATTATTTCCGTTCTCACTTATTGATAACCTCAATTGTTTTATAGATCCTGCTTTTATGTAGTTGGGAACAGAGAATCTTCCCGATGTTGTTCACTTTGACGTTGCTGCAATTTTACATGATAGCTCTCCGATTGAGTAAACAAGCGTTATCAATTCTATTCTAGGCAGCTTGTATGTACTTGCGTACATACATATGTATGACAAGCAAGATGAATTTGCGTTTTAGCGTGGGATATCATCAAGACGCGCGTGCGAAAGATACGTGTCTTAATTCACGCGTGCGAGAAGTTTGCTGCATTATTAAATCCCTCCTTTTACGAGCTTAAGCAAAACACACACAAGCTTCGAATCACCGCCTCACGCGATATTCCCCGAAATTCAAAGAATCCACACGTTTCGGAATTTCTAGCGAAACCAGAGTAAATGAACACGATTATCGCGCTGGATATTCGATAGATGCAAATATATATTACGTGTTTGCGCGATCACTTTTTTCGCGTGTGCTCTAAGATATTTAAAAATTATTACGTTTGCGAAAATTAAAAAAAAAAAATAATTAAACAGAATAAACTAGGAAATTTTTATCATTTCTGTTTTCTCTCAAAAAAAGAAGAGAACATTCTTCTTGAATTGGTTTAAAAAGTTCCGAAAATTTTTGAACGGATAACTTTGATAGAAAATCAATAATTCTCTTATTGATGCAAGCATTTTTCATTCGCAGCAGCTGATAGACGGTTCGATTGCGACGTCATCGCGCGTAAGAAGATCGTATCTCGAAACCGGGGTCTCTCTCTCCCTCTCACTGCATTTCGGATTTTCTGATTGAAATCTTGGAAGCGACTAAAAGAACTTTGCTGGAACGTCGTCGTCCTTCGTGATCCTCTCCAAACCGACTCTCGAACGGCTAAATTATATATTCGGATAATTCGACCCCGCATCGTCAAATTTCCGCGTGCGATCGTATACAAAATGATTCGCGCACCTAAGAGAGATCCCGGAAAGAAGTCGATCTTATATCGAAGGTCTTACTTCGATTTCATGGGTGTTTCCGAAGATCTCACGCGTGGTATTATAGTAGATAAGGTTGATTGGAATCTTCAATTCCGGTAAAAAAAATCAGCGAGGTGAAAACGCTCGATACTGTAACTTCTAATTCACGAAGAAGCGCAAGAGGAAGTGAAGCCAGTTAACCGCAAAGGAAAAATAGTGGACGTTTGCACGCGAGACGAAATAACGAGAAGAAAGATGGATCTAACATAAACGCACCGTTAGTCGTATGTTACTCCTCGTTCGATGTTGTTTCTGCGTTTCTGACGCTACTTTCTTACCCTCTCCTTTTTTTTCTCTCTCTCTCTCTCTTTCTCTCTCTTTAGTAGTTCCTTGATGATCATTACTTTTTATTGTCAATCCTCTGCGAGAACATGTAAATCGAGATGAAACTGTTTTGCGGACAACATTTTGCTTCAATGTAGGATGCAATTATTCGGTTTATTGTTTGAATACTACGTAGTTCCAAGAGAGAGAGAAAGAAACTACATACGCATGTACAACAGCTTTGTCTCGTCTCGTTCAGCACTCTTTTCCGATTGCTTTTGTGCGCGAATCAGAATTATTCGGCCGTTAAAACGAAAAATTATTTCCGATTTTTCGTTCGGATTCCTCAATAACCGCGAATATTGTTGCACAAGTTATTGTTACAGTTTTGTCACGCGAATTTTCTCAGCGAAAATTATACACACTTCTTTTGCGCGCGCGTTGGTTAATAAACGAAAGCGAGAGAACTTGAGACATAATTATTCGAGTTTTCGATATCGAAATCTACAACGTTAATTCCACTTCAAAAGCGACGACAATTCGAATAGAAACTTTCGTGACTTTTCAAAGCGCGGAGAGAGAGAGAGACCTCGATTTCACGTGGCACAAAAAGTTGTATCATCCTGCAAACGTTCTCATTAGCACTTTTTAGTTAGGAAGCGTTTCTTAACTTATCACTCGCGCTACGCAGAAAACTTGCCGAGAGATTCACGATCACACACACGCTAAAAGGTACATGCTATATTCGCATACGTCAAAATTGTCTCCGTAACATACACGAATAAACTGCTTGTTTTGAAAGAAAAATAGAAGTTCGCTGTGACAACGACAACGAGCGCTCGACACTTCTGTGTTGCGCCCGTCGAAATCTCACAAAGTTTCGTTAACTGTTGAAGGAACTGTTCTTGGCGAAAGCAGAATAAAACGAACTTTACTCCCGTCACGCGAGTTTTATTGCCGGACCTACGTGATCTCGGAATCTAAGAATAAACCATGGACCGAGTTTTTCGACCAAAGCTGCGCTTCCTATTGAAGTTATAAGGCGACGACAATAATGATTTGGCACAAAACGATATAAAAGACTATTTGTTATTTCTATAGTTGATATATATTGTGTATATTTAGTATGATTTTTAACCGCAATAAATACTACATAATCGACACGATTACACACATTCGAAGAATATTTTTAATAAAAGTGAATTTTATTTGATAGTGTAAAGGACCCCCCACTAATTTTATGTAAATTTGGGTTTCGGTTAAATCAGCTGATTTTCTTATATATTGTAGTTTATGACCTGTTAAATAAAACATGCAAGACTTAGAGCAAAAAAATGAACAGTTTTTGTGTTTGAATGGTCTAAAATCATCGACATCTTACTATAAAATATTCGATAACTTAGAAACGGCTGACCCAAAGTTTTAACGGCTTTAAAGGTCTCAACAAGGCCATAGGAATACGTAATAAAAGATGGAGAGTCCCGCTTAAAACATTCCAGACGATTTTGTTCTGATCTCGGCAACATCATTCAAGGTCAAATTGATATACGATTCATATACGATCATACACATGAATATATAAAAAGTTCCGAAACGGTAACATATTTCGAAAATTATAAGTTTTATTTAAAAAATGTTTGAGATAAAAGTTTTAAGGTTTAAAAAGTTTTATTCATTGGCTTTATCAATTTGACCTTGAATGATGTCGCCGAGGTCAGAACAAAGTCGTCTGGAATGTTTTAAGCGAGACCCTCCATCTTTTATTACGTATTCCTGTGGCCCTTGTTGAGACCTTTAAAACCGTTAGAACTTTGGGTCAGCCGTTTCTAAGTTATCGAATATTTTATAGTAAGATGTCGATGATTTTAGACCATTCAAACACAAAAACTGTTCATTTTTTTGCTCTAAGTCTTGCATGTTCTATTTAACAGGTCATAAACTACAACATATAAGAAAATCAGCTGATTTAACCGAAACCCAAATTTACATAAAATTTGTGCGGAGTTCTTTGTGGTAACGTTTTTCCACTACACTTATCTATCTTTAATCAAAGTAATTAATAAAGAATATAACAAAAACTACTTTAAAAGTAGTATTTGTTATATACAATGCAATAATTCAATGACGCTTTTATGTTATTGCGAGAAAGAAGCACGGACGTATACGCGATGTAATGAGAATTCTATGGTTAAATGAACGTGTTCGCCACACACCGCGATCCACAGAAATTTTTGCGAGCATTACGAGGCGACAATCGATCATAACACGTTTATATGATCTGGAAAAAGCGTAAAGACGCGTATCGTGAAGAAGCGAAATGGGCAATCGATTACCATAATACAACGATTCCGGTGCATTCGACGGACATTCGGGTGTATATCGACGAACGAAGCGTGATCTAAAAGATAAAGAATCGATTGGATTAATGTATACGCGATAAACTAAAGATTCCATGAAATTTTGCCATATCGCTTCTTTTTTGAGCCCGGAAATTTATAGGAATGAGGTAAAAAATCTGTTATGTATAAAAAAAAAAACACTCAATCGTATAAACGCGCAATCTTTTAATCGGATGTGAATTTTGTTCGTTATTTTCTATTTAATGTTTGTGTGCGCGAATCCGCAACACAAAACGAGCTAAAATTTGCGATTGTTCATTCAACGCGATATTCTTTTAATCAATATCGATTTCTCTCCGCTCCTACGTGAAAACATTCGATCGGTACAAAAATTCCAATACCATCAAATGAACATCGCGATCGGCAAAATTAGACTTTATCCGCTGAATATAGTTCAACTATAATTCCGCTCGCCGGAATTATCACGCGCACTAACAATCGTGGCGGAATTCTCGCAGCGATTCGTGCGCTACTGTCCGGCGCGATAACCCGCCGCTATAAATTAAGACAGATAGATCCGAAGGCGCGCGTATCGAGAAACCGAATGGACGATAGATTATCATAATACGGTGATTCTGGTGCATACTGCGGCGTGCGCCCCGGCTCGCGTAAAACGCGAATTCATGTACGGTACATGAGCACGCGATTCAAGCCGTCACGATATTTGCCGTCCTCGCTTATATGTACCGATAACCTGCGCCGAAAGACGCGTGGTGTGCAAGCCACCGCGGATTTCCGTCCAAACGACCCTTATTTAGCATGCAACCGGCGTCCCGCAAAAGGTAAAAGCGATTAAATAAAACAATGTGCATTTCCGAGACGAGACGCGGTGCAATTCGAAATACCAGGTTTTGCAAAGACTCGTATGAACTTCTCAACTATAATTCGCATGCGGTGAACATTATTCTTACACAGTAAAACCAAGCAGCGTAATCAAGAAACTCTGTTTTCTG